TTCAACTCTTTTTGCATTTTCTTCACTAAAACCCAAAACAAGTGACAAATCATTTGCAACCGATTTGTATGTTTTGACCGATTCTTGAACTTGTGTTTCGTTTTCCTCTAATATATAACACATTCCTTCGGATTCATTGATCAAAAGTCTTTTCGCAAAACTATTTCCATGTTTTTCGATAACAAAATTGAAATCTTTGTCATCAAAATTTGCCTTAAAGTGAATGAAATCCTTTTCAGTTATTTCTTCAAAATCCGGACCATTTATTGACAAATTCTTAAGTTTCAAAAAGTGTCCCTTTTTCTGGAAAAGATATCCGAATCGATATTTCAAACCATTTTCATTAGATATGAATCCCAAATGAAATCCAATTCCTAATTATAATTATAAAACATAAATATTTTAGAAAATTTTACTTCATATTAATATAATTTTCATTTATTACCAAATTTAGTGTATCCCATAATTCTCTTTATATTCCTCTCAATTGGTTTATTCTGTAAATACTTTTTACTAACAGATCCCCAGAAGTATAGCTGTCTTTCCTCTTCCATCTCTTCCTTGAAGTTACCCTTCATTTGACCGAATTGTTCGAATCGGTCCTCAAACCGATCACTACTTCCTCTTGATTTCGGGGATAATAACAACTCTTTGGCCATAAAGTGATCGTCGAAATCATGGGTGAAGTCATAAACCCTTGAGACCGCATACCATAAGAATCTAAATCTAACGTAAACTAATTCATTGTTGTTTTTCTTGAGATATCCCCTAAATTTAATCCTTTTCCTTCTGAATGGAGACATTATCTCAACTCCGAGTCCACAAATTCTGTATTCATTCTTCCGGTACTCGACCTCCGAGACCTCCTCTAATGTATAGCTATTACTGTTGTTGTCATCAAATCTCAAACTAATGGTTGCATTCATTTGATTGTCGACTCCTTTTGGTCTCCATTTGATTGCAATATAAATGCTTTGTTTCGATGAATTCACGCCATATATCAACAAATCCTCGTTTTTGTCCTGATTATATTAATTATATTAATTATATTTTATGTCCTTTAATTGCTTTAAATTTTTATATTTAATTTAAATTATTTTAATATGAATTTCTTTTAATATTATATAATATAGTATATATTTAAATATCGTATTATAATTCTGTATACTGCAGTACACTATTAGATATTTATACTGTACAGTATATCTATTTTAATTTATTTTAAGATTCAAGATTCAAAATATAAATTAGACTTGAATTTTTAAAAATCCCATATCAAAGTTTAGACTTATAGTTTATAATTAATGAACATGGTTCAATGAATACCTGTGAGGGCACATCATAATGCCACTCATGTGGGAAGGGCATCATCCCGGCGTTGTGCACCTCATCCTTCCAGACATCATGTGTTGTGATTCTGTTGGTCTTGTATTGCAATCTTCTGGACCACAGTTCCCACAATTCACTCAAATATTTAAACCATTTGCCATTAATGTCATGATTTAGTTGTATTACTTTATTTACATATATAGTAATGACTGGGAGGGATAATAATAGTCCCATAATTTATAATGTTTATGGTTTTTTCAAATCAAGAATCAACTTTCTATAGTAAAGTTGTGTTTGCATTAAAAATGGATAGTAAGAAAGCACAAGCCTTTTAATATCTATTTATTAAAAACAAGTTTTCTAACTTATGTCTTTCAAATGTTAAATGTCTTTTAACTAATAATCAAAGCATTTTTACGTCACTATATTATCAATATGAACTCATATCTTAATTATTAACACAAGTTATAGCTAAATCAACGCACGGCACCCATTATATTAATAATATTAAGTGCTGATAAAAAGTTTGCACTTTTATATCCTACATAGAAATCCATTCAATTGTTATAACAAACTAGTTTGTAATCAATAAAATGTATTATGTTCAATTATATTTTCTCAAGGTTTGTATAGATAAATATATTTTGTAATTTTAATTAGCATTCCTCTGCATATAACAAACTGATAGCTAATATTGTATTTAGATATAAATTACAGTACATTTACATTGTCCTTAACACTCAATTCAAACAATTATAGAAAATATAAATTCTAAGTTCTAGGTCAACCCATTGCACTAAGCCGGTACATTATTAAGCAATTTGTGGTGATTTTATATCATAATTAAATTAAATATACATTATGTTTAGGTCATACAAATGTACTAAACATAGTTTTTAGTACTTTTATACAAATGACTTGAATCAAAATAATTACAATTAATAGTGTTGAGTATAATTGAGAATCCATTGCCTGAACACTGAGACACGTGTGTAGACACCCGGTTGTGAGGGCTCACCGCACCCTATACCCCAAGACACTATCCCGGCCAGAAACCAATGACCCTCATCATCCTGAACCTGAAGTGGGCCCCCACTGTCACCATTGCATGAATCTGGTCCTCCCTTATCATAACCGGCGCACATCAATATCTCGGGAATGGCTTCATGTCGTCCGACACTTTTGAACATTTCTTCGCACCTCTTGTTACTGACAATCGGAACGTTGGCCTCTTTGAGAACCGCTGCTCTCTCTCCACCTTCGCTTAGACGACCCCATCCGGTGATTGTGGCGTTTCTGTCCGACAGGTCATCCGTGTCCTCCGGTGGCAAACATATGGGCTTTATATGAGCCCCGAAGTCAATGGGTTCGTCCACTTGGATGAGCGCC